GCCTGCTGAGGAACTGCCGCTTGTAAATTACGCTTTGTAGGATTCCCTTGGCTTCCTCACTTTTTTCTCCCAAATCACTTGTTAAGCACTCTCACACCCTGGGATGCCACTGATGGCCAAATGGGAAGTTGTTAATTTGTGCTTTGGGAGCATGGAGTTCTCAGGCTGTTAATGTCCAGAGCTTCATAGATTTACACTCTGTGCAATTGGCAGGGCAGTGAAATCTCCCAGCAGCCGTAGCATTTTATGAGACAAAGTTTCTTCTGAGGGTTTGAAATAGGCCAAGAGACGGAGGCCCCATTTTCATTTGGCAGAAAAAAGTAAGACTGATTTTGGCTACTCACTGTTCTCTCACCCCTCCCATCTTTGAACTATAGAAAATATCTGTGATTGTGCACGATGGAAGGCGCAGAATGCAGCAGAAGTTTCTTTTCTTCTTGATTGTTGTTAAACCCAGATAATACATGCACGAAGCTTCAATCTATGGCACAGTGGGTTTGCACTTTTGTTTCTGGGGCCAATTCAGCATGCTGGTTGTAACATAAAAATAAACAATGGTGTGGCTGGGGTCACAATATCCAAAATATTGATTCTTCTGATATAAGCTTCTCAGTAATGACAAGGCTGGAAAATGGGAAATCTCACACGTCTGCTTCTAGAAGTTCCTTGAATTTGTACACTCTGTCTCCTTCCTATCCATTTTGGTAGGGATTCCACAGCCTAGCTGCTTTACTAGCAAATAGAAGAAAAATGTGAAAAAGTAAATAAATTCTCTTTTTGATAACATGTCACTAGGAAGGTTATGAGCCCCCCTCTTGTTAAAATCAGTTATCTCTCATTAGAATTAAAATTGAACATTAAGAATAAGAAAGTTAAAAAAAAAATCTCCAATAGTTAAATTGGAGTATGAAATTTAATAAAAAACAAAACAAAACCAGAGTCTTAGGGGGAATTTGTTGCAGACTGCCACAGAAGAGGAAGCAGATTACAAATCTTAATTTAGGAGCCTATGCTGCATCAAACATATAACAACTAAAGTTAACAGAGAAAATAAACATATACGTTACTCTTTGAATGCTGGAATTATTCTCAGTGGTGAGAGTGTAAACTTAGGGACAGGGGCTTGTATGTCACTTCTCTACATTGCCTCTGTAGTTTATAATCTTTTATCTCAAGATGAAGAGGACATAAGGAAGGAGGATCATTTTGGTGGTAGCCCAATGACTGGAGTTTTTCCGTTAAGGACAGAGTTCCTTTGTAAGGATGGCCCTTTTGCCTAATTTTAGATGAGCTGTGATCCTCTTTTTGTGCCTTGTTAAATACTTAATGTACAATCAAATTTTCTCAATAGCTTTGATCCTTGTTTTGTCAGGCTGACTGTGCTGTGCCAAGGGTTTTTTGTTGAAGTTCCCACCTCTTCCGAGAGGGGACTAAACCCATTCAATGGGTTTAAGGCTTAGTGCAATTGTATATCAGATGAGATATGTTTGTGTCATTGTGTCCTGAGTTTTGAGTTCATTGCAGGAATTGGCTATGGCTAGTCTAGAGAAAAGAAGGACTAGGAGTAACAGAATAGAATAGAATTCCTTTATTGGACAAGTATGATTGGATAAACACAAGGAATTTGTCTTTGGTGCATAAGCTCTCAGTGTACATACAAGCAACAGGTGAATAATATAGCAGTATTCCAGTATTTGAGGGGCTGCGACAAAGAAGAGGCAGTCAACTTATTTCCCAAAGCATCAGAAGGCAGGACAAGAAAGATGGAAACTAATCCAGGAGAGAAGCAACCAAGGAGAAACTTCCTAACAGTGAGGACAATTAACCAGTTGTGGTGCTCCTTCACTGGAGGTTTTTAAGAAGAGACTGGACAGCCACTTGTCTTAAATTGTATAGGGTTTCCTGCTTGAGGAGTGGATTGCACTTGACTAGAAGTCCTCCAAGATCCCTTCCAGCTCTATTCTGATCGACTGATTGAGTTGCCTTTCAGAGATCTGAGGTCCGGTCTCTTAACCTGCTAAATGAGATCTTTTGGAATCCACATTTGGGGTTATTTTGGAGGGTAAGACCAGGGGTGGGATTCTACCAGTTCGTACCTATTTGCTAGAACCAGTTGTTAACATTCTAAGCAGTTCAGAGAACCGGTTGTTAGAAGAAATTACTGGCCTAATCCTGTAAGGAAGGCAGGAAGGAAACATTCTGGTGTTGCTTACAGAAACTGCCTCTCTGTTAACCCTTATTACGTTGTTGGCAGGACTAGACTTCCTGTCTCAGGAACGTCTCTGGAGTTTTTTCCCCCTCCTTTGCTGGTACTTTGCTTGTGTGGAGTGACCATTCAAAGTTACAATGGCACTGAAAAAAGTGACTTTTGACCATTTTTCACACTTACAACTGTTGCAGCATCCCCACAGTCATGAGAGGCCAGGCAAGGAGATGCGTGCCTCAATGTGAGTGATATTGAGTTGGCGACACCAAGCCAATAACATGACCACCAAGCCACGCCCACCACCTAAGCCACGCCCACAGAATCAGTTGTTAAAAGTTTTGAATCCCACCCCTGGGTAAGACTGAGGCATGACATCTCTAGGCCCCACTGAGAACACCCTCTGAGTAGTCAGCCGCAGAAGTGCCTTTGCTGAATAAATATCCTCCCATTGAAGTGCGGCTCTTGAATTTTATTTTATCTTTTTTCCAGGACAGCAAGTAAGCACATGTTGGGAGGTGGCTGTCTGTCTTTAATCACAAGCCTTTATAGGTTATTTACAGTAATGTTTTGTATCTTGAGTGAATGCTTTACTAATTATGGTAATAAAAAAGGCAATAAAAGGCACGTTCCCGGTGGAGGAATATATTTGGAGGCCTTGCCTGGTTCACTTATAAGCGGAGCCGTGATAGGAATTGCCCACCCGCTCAGCGGTGGAAGAAATCAAGCTGTTATGTGCGAGCTGCCATGGATTAAGGTGTGACTTGAGGAAGGGGCTGCTATGATGGATTGGAAGGAAGGGGGCAGAATTTGAACCCCTCCCCAAGTGGTGGTGCTTAAGGGGGAAATGGGTTGGTTAAGATATAGCTAAGCAAGAAGGGATTTGGGTTTGGCCTGGTCCTTGTGCACAAAGCAGGATCTAATCTTAAGCACTGGCTTTTTTTTCCGTTTTAAAAATACAGACAGTTCCCTTAAGACTGCAATTGGGACCAGCATTTCTATTGCTAAATAAGAGGATTGTTAAGTGAGTTGTGCATGATTTTAACTCCTTTTTTGCCGTGGTTGTTAAGCATGCGGTTATTCGTGTTGAAACAAATATCCTTCTGGTTCAGTTCCAAGCTGGGAGAAAGACACTGGAAACATGGAGTCTGATTGGAAAGGAAGTTTAATGATGAACAGAACCAACAGCAGTTCTGGGTTAGCTGACAAAATGGAGTTGAGAGTGAGAGGCTTTTATATCTTCCTTGAGTTTTGTATTTGAGCTTCGTGTTCCTGTGCAAGAACATGTCTTCTATTGGCTGTTGTCAGATTTCTATGGGGTCATGTAGAGGTTATTTAAGGGTCATAGCTGGCTCTATAGCCAAAAGAGGAAATGCAAATCCTAGGTGCTTGTCTGAGCTAAGTTTGGTTGAAGTTTGGACTGCTCCGGACGGCTTCTAATTCTACCATTCTGCCTTTGTTTCAGAATATCCTGTCTTGAATGGATTTCTGCCTGCAGCATTTGCTTTGCCTATGAATAGAGCTATCTAGATACCTGTCTTCCTTTTTCAATAAGCTCTTTAACTCTTAAGTGCTGACATCTGCTGTGGGCTATTAAGGAAAGTGTGGGTTGCTTTCTGCCTCTAAAAAACATGTTTCTCCATTTCTCCCTTTGGGAAATATGATATTCTGCCTTTTTTAAAAATATTCCACAAAATATTTCATTCTTCTAGGAGGGGTGTTGGCTTCCCACATTAGTGAATCACATGCTCGTGAAGCAAATCCAACTTCTCCCATTAAGCAAAGCCAGTTTGGGATGCTACGATGGTCATAAGCGCAAGGAACAGTTGTAAGTTACATTTTTGAGTGCCGTTGTAACTCCGAATGATTGCTAAATGAATGATTGTAAGTCAAGGACTGCCTGTACAGGTAGTGCTTGACTTACAACAGTTCATTTAACAACAGTTACAACAGCACTGAAAAAAGTGATTTACGCCTGTTTTTCACAACACTTACCAGCATCCCCATGGTCATGTGATCAAGAAATCAGACGCTTGGCAACTGACTCGTATTTATGATGGTTGCAGTGTCCCTGAGTCACGTGATCACCTTTTGCAGCCTTCTGACAAGCAAAGTCAATGGGTGAGCCAGATTCACTCAACAACCGTGTTACTAACTTAACTGCACTGATTCACTTAACAACTGTGGCAAGAAAAGTCACAAAAAGGAGCAAAATTTACTTAACAAATGTCTCACTTAGGAAGAGAAATCTTGGGCTCAATTGAGGTTGTAAGTCAAGGACTACCTGTAGTGACACTGGGTCTTACACAGCTTTGAAAACACTGCCATTTCTTTTATTTGTAGGATAGCCAAGGCCCTTTAATGCTTGGAAAGTGAGGGCCTAGGCTAGGCCCAATAAAGGCAATCAATTTTTTTCCCTTAGGTAATTGCTGCCTGCATAGTGAACAGAAATTCAGCAGGAGAAGGCTTTCCTGCTATGAAGAAACCCACCTCCTGTTGAATTTTTGGATGGTATATGGATATAGAACTTCTCAAATTCTTGTAGGAAAAAAATATTCAATTTTGTAATTGATAATCTGCCTGGCTTTGGGGGGGAAAAGCATTTTTATCACAGCAAAATAATCAGTGCACATGTTGTTTGGTAATTCCTGGGTAGCCTACATTGCTTTTGTGAATTTAGATTTTCCAATTAGGGCAAAGGGAATCTGGAACGTTTCATCGTAGATTAAAATGTCTGAATCAAAATAATTTCCATAATTACATTATGATTTTTCCCCATTATGATTTTTCATTTCAGCAAGCCGTGCTTCCTAAGGCTGTAAGAAAAGCTGCATTATCACTACAAGTTGTAGAAAGGCAATATTAGAATGGGATATTAGAAATGCTTTCGGACATTTCAGCAAAAGAATCAGTCTGGTAAGAAATCAATCAATAAAAGTTCACCATAAAAACTATATCAGAAGTCTGCCATGCTTTATTGGTTTTCCTTAAGAACGTACAACTATTTTTCAGGCCAAGATTTGCACCAGTCTGTGCTGCCATGTCTCCCATGGTTAACGTGGGCTTGTGTGAACACAACTATCTTAGGATCATGCTCCTTCCGAGGAGGTTTGATCCAACTTAAGGTCCAAATGCAATATTTGCATTCAAATTATGCTGAGAAAAATGAGTCGATGTTTTGTGTGCCCATCTTGCTTTTTCTTTTAGTATAAATATTGTTTACATATTTATTTTGGGGAAAGTTACAGCCAGAAGTTGAATTAAGCTAGGACTCAGTTAGTGTTGACATTATACATGTATAAACCAGCCCCTATTTAAGGCATGGATATTGGAGAACTTCAAAAAATAAACAGCAAAACTTAGAACGAGGGGTGGCTTACATTTAGTGAGAAAGTAGGTTTATTTATGAACAGATCTTTTTCCTTTCTTCATACCAGGTTTATCTTAGCATACGCAGTTTGTCTGTCTGTCTGTCTATCGATCGATCAATCGATCTATGCAAGATCACAAGATGTAGAGAGACCTGGCCAATAGAATCACCAAGAATCGGAGATGACTGAATGGATAACATCATCATCTATATCCATCTATCAGTCTGTCTGCCTTTGCCTATCTGTCTATTTATCTATCACATTTCTGAACCACCCATCTCCCTCAAAGAGAGAGGGATATTTCTATACACACATACATACATCTCGGGAACTGATGTTTTCTTTTCTTCTGTGCCAGGTGGAGCAGTTCCAATGAACTCCTGGGAGGTTCCCATGAACTTTCTGGAAGAAGGTGGACTGGCTGAACGGTTTCTTCACATTGAGCGAGAGCAGATAGTCCGCCTGAATTCTCTCAGCTTCCTTGATCCTGTACAGTATGTTTATAATCCTTTGGATTATGCCTGGGAGCCTCACCAGGACTATGTACGTAAATATTGCCATTCCCGGAAGGAGGTGCTCTTTCTTGGGATGAATCCAGGGCCTTTTGGCATGGCTCAGACTGGGGTAAGCAAACAACCAAGGCTGAGGCTGGGAGGGTAAGAGTCACAAAAAGAGAACCGAATCTTCAGCAAAAGACAGATTAGGATTGTGCATATATACCAAATGCCCTGTATATGCCTTCACTCATACAGAGCTCAAATTCATCTAATGTACTCTAATATAGCCACCTGCCTCTCCTTAAAAAAAGCTCCTTATGAAGAAAAAAGTCCGTTGCCTTTCAAGGGGTCTCTTTCATTGTCCAATTGCTTGTATGATAATATTTGTTTCCTCCCCTTGCAACTTGAATCGATTGATTTGATTTTTTACCTTCTGGGGCTTCATTTCCTCCACTTTCTACAGGATAGCAATTTAAATACTTGAAAATGGCAATGGAAACCTTTAAAATTTGCTTCTTGAAGAGATACTAAAGGAAGCCAACTCTTTCAACTTTTCTTTAAGATCTTTTTACCTTGTTTTCTCCATTTGTAACATAAATGTAATTTGTAATGTACCTGTGTAAAGCATAGGTGGTTCATCTGAATGAGCAGAAGAAAGGTCCAGCAAGGAAGAAGTAGAGATTAAAAAAAACAACTTCTTTACAGTAATCTTTTCTGCCTTGAAGTTGGGATGGATATCATTTGTTGTCCAAATCTTGGGATCTACCATTCTGTTCAGATGAGAAAGAATTCCATGCATATTGAGTTAGTATGGTGTCCTTCTCTGTGTCTAGCACAGAGGTGCTTTTTCAAGAGGCAACTGGAGTTTGTTTTTTTCTGAAGATGTTTCGCTTCTCATCCAAGAAACTTCTTCAGCTCTGACTGGATGGTGGGGAATGGAAAGATTTATACTCCTTGCAGACTGCTGGTTATTTGCATTCTTTTAAAGAGTCGTTGAGGCCACTTGGAGGTTTATCTGTGTCCTCAGGGTCACCTGAGTAGTGTAAATGGGTGTGGAGCCTTCTTGGAACTGTTGAAAGGATTGTGTTGTAGAGGGGAGATAGATGATGTTGTCGTTTCAACAGTTCCAAGAAGGCTCTACACCCATTTGCATTACTCAGGTGACCCTGATGACACAGATAAACCTCCAGGTGGCTCAACGACCCTCTAAAAGAATGCAAATGACCAGTTGTCTGCAAGGAGTATAAATCCTTCCACTCCCCACCATACAGTTAAAGTGGAAGAAGCTTCTTGGATAAGAAGTGAAATGTCTTCAGAGAAAAACAAGAAAGTCCAGTTGCCTCTTGAAAAAGCATCCTTGAGACACCCATGACCTGGATAACTGAGACTTTCCATAGATAATAGGCTAGTAGCTTTTGTAGTCCTTTTTGCAGGGCTGTACTAGCAGGAGCAAATAGATGAATGTGAATGGGGGTGAGAGAGTTAAGTATGGCTCTACGTTTTCGTAACTCACAGTCTCAGCCCTACTTTGTTAATTCTTATAGGAAATACTTCAAGTAGGTATATATGTAGTAACAGAAAATGTTTAGTCACTCTCTCCCAGTCAAATTATTGAGCCTGAAAAGCATCTTTATTGTAGTGAGGTTATTGTAGTAAAATATCTTATATATGATACTTTGCTATTTTTTTTTTCTGCAGAAGGTCTGTACCTGTCTATATTTCTGGCTTAGTGGGTGTTTCTTGTCTCCCCAATTTCCTACATGTGACATTTACCTTGTGTGCAGTATCTGCATTCAGTGTCTCTTCCTCCCACTGTAGCCAAGTTAACACCCAGACAGATAATTCAATTTCTGCTTTGATGCTATGCTAGGGAAGGAAGTGGGTAGGGAATTGATAATGTGGCGAAGTGCTTGCTGAGATTCTGCAATTTAAACATGTGTGGGTGTACGTGTAAATTGACTGATTATTCTCTGAATGTCGGAAGCACTTAGTGCCAAAGAAAGGGCTTCTGATCTTTTTTTTACAAAGCAATTATAAGTACAATTGTAAATTTATCCCTTATTCTATGGTTACAGTGTAACTCTCTTCTTTTAATAATCTACCCTATCTAGTCATCAAAACCATAAAATCCTAAATTCCTTTTTTTCCTGTTTTATTCAAAAAAAATCCATCAGGGGTTTTCAGTCAGCAATAAAGATAGATACTGTCTTTTCTCTGAATGAAGAAGTCAATTTAGCAATCTCAGCAAATTTTGTCATCTTTACCAACTATTCCTCCACTGTGGGTAATGCCAAATCTTTCCATCTTTGTGCATACAATGATGTCATTGCAGTTATCATATACAAAAACAAAGTTCCATATTTTTTTTCTATCCATCTCAAATGAAAAACCTCTGGTCTTAATTTTATATTAATCTTTAAAATCCTCTGAATCAGAGTGTGTATTTGAATCAAAGTTTCTCCAGTTATTTTTACACCTCCACTAAATATGATAAAGTGTCCCTTCTCATATTTCCAATAGAAATTTGAAGTGCCTTTATACATTCTAGACAAATTCTCTTGTGACATAATACTAGTGGTATATAATTTTATAAAAATTCCTTTAAGATTATAAAAGTGTAAACTTCAGTCCTTTCAAGCACATGTTTTCCTATTGTTCCACCTATTGTCTAAATGTAAATGTTGGTTACAACATTTTAGTCCATAAATTTTTTCTACTTGCTCTTCTGTTTCAAATTTCCGTGAAATACATTTAACAATTACATGTTCATTATTTGCACACAATTCTGTTTCAAATTCTATCTTACAACATTCAAAACTATAAAACTTTTTTTCTCCACTTTAAAGTTTTCTAATAACCGTAGATAAAAAAAAACCATTAGCAACTATATCCCTCTGCCACCAATTCTTCTCCTGATTTTATTTTATCCCTCCTTGACAAAATTCTAGTAACTCACAGTAAGTTAGCCAGTTATGTTGGCCTATTATTTTTCATCTATAAAATGTGTCTTGTTCTGAGAGCCACAAAAAATGTTTTACTTGAAATTTGTATCTATCCCATATTCTCAATATAGCATATCTAATATAAGGATTTTTAACATCCACATTAACCTTGACTTTGTCGTATGACGAGTATCCATGCCACTCAAATCTCAGGTCATGTCCTTCTATTTGTCAGTAGCACCCACTCTTTCATCCAAACCAAACAGCAAGCTGCAAGATACAGTTTCAAGTCCAAGTAGACCCAATCTTCCTTTTTCCTTTACATCTTCTAACACCTTATATTTAACTTGTGTTGTTTTTTTTTTGCCCTGCCACACATGTTTAGATAGATCCTTCTGCCACTATTTAAATGGTACATCAGTTTTCAAAGCAGATATTTTCTGAAACAAGAATGCCATTCTAGGCAAGACATTCATTTTTATCGCATACATTCTCCCCAGCAATAACAATTTTAGTTTTTGTGATCTTAACATTTCTTTTTAAACTTCATTCTATAACATAGCTGTTTTGAAACAACACAATTCAATTTGTTATAGTGATACCCAGATATTTTACTTTTTTTCCAATCATAAAATTTGTTTTATTCATCAGTTCTGTTTGATTTTCCATTTTCTTATTTTTGTTAAACATGTTTGTCATGTAATCTTGAAACCCACTAATGCATCCAATTATTTGAATTTGCCCATTAATGTTTTAATTCCCTTTAAAGGATCTTCCAAAACACACACCAAATCAGCTGCAAAAGTCAACTTATAGGTTTTCCACAATCCTCTCATCTTATTTTATAACTCTGTTCAGTATTTCAAGAACCAAAATAAAGGAGAGAGGAGACAGTGGGCATCCCTATCATGTTCCTTTTATGATTTGTGTTTTCTGTGAAGTTTAAATTGATTTTACCCATTTTATAAAATTCTCTCCAAAATTCATCCCTTGCAAACTTTGAACAAGAAAGCCCAATTCAAATTGTCAAAGGCCTTCTCTGCATCTAAGAAGATCAACTTAGCTTGTTTTTTTTTATTATGTTGCTCCAAATATTCCAAAATGTCCAACATATTTCTAAGATTGTCCTTTAACTGTATTTTTAAGTAAGAAGCCACATTGATCCTCAGGCATGAATTCTTGCAAAATTAATTTCAGTCTATCAGCTAGAACCACAAATTGCAGTCATTATTCAATAACAATAGTCTATCCTTTCTTGTTAAAATCAGATCTTATCCCTCTTTAAGTATTAGTGCTATACTGGCATCTTTCCAACTCTCTGGCATTTTTTTTGTCCCTGTAAGATTGTGTCATTATCTTTTAATAAAGGTTATTAAAGTTCATCCTCAAAACATTTATAATAAGAGCCTGATAATGAATCTGGTCCTGCCACCTAACTTGATTTAATCTTTCTTATAGCTTCAGAAACTTCCCTTATAGTTATAGACCCATTCACGATCTGTCTGTATTCTTCTATAAACCTCAGTAAATTTTGTTTCTTTAGATATTCATCTATTTTTTCCCAGAGAGATATTATTTCTTTCATACAAGTTGAAATAATATTGATGAAATATTTTGTATAGCATTTATGTTAATGGAATATCCATTAATAGGATATATCTCTCTTGTAACTTCAATATTAGTTTTCCTTTCCTTTCCTTTCCTTTCCTTTCCTTTCCTTTCCTTTCCTTTCCTTTCCTTCCCTTCCCTTCCCTTCCCTTCC